CATCATGGCTGATCACATGTGTAGCGCTGGACACTTTCATTTTCTCGAAGTGAGAAGGTGCAAGTTTGGCCTTGGTAAGCTTTGGTGCCAGCTTCAACTCGTGGTGCTCTTGGAAGCATGCAAGGTCATGAAGGGGGTAATCACTGACGATGGATGAGCGAAGATGATGGCGCTCTACGGTGTCTTTGGAAAGAACAAAATTCTGCCCACTTATTAGAGCTGACTTGATGTTTTTGAACAAATGAGGAACATCAGCGAGAAAATACAGCCAACCTTCTGTTTCATGCGGGTGAGGGATTCTGTAGACTGTCTGGCAATGTTTACCGCATATTATCCCAAACGACTTCCACATAGCCCGATTGGCGCTACCCATATCACTTGTTACTGCTTGGACATGCAGGCCGGTGTCTGCTGCACGACTGATGATGTCCAGAATGATGTCCTTGAAGACGGTTCCATCTGTTGAGCCACTTGTAAAGTGATAGCCAATCGTTTGCTTCCAGCGAGAGGTAACTCCACCGAGCATGAACACAAGCGCATGGTCAGCACTGCCACAGTGTCTTGGCAATGTCACATCGCCTACAAGGTGACCACTAGTGACATCATACTCGACTTTTTGTGTCAGAGACATTTCGTCTAGTGTAAGACAGCAAAGTCGTTCTTCCTTAGTCAGACCATCAACTTTCAGCTTCAGCAGTTCAAAGACCTGCGTCAATACACCTGGCTGAAAAGACATGTACTGTAACCTCCTCTGAAGTGTGCGTTCCGATGGTAGTGGGTATTGCAGTTTTAATAGGACTTTGTATCCTGCAGATCCGCATGAGAACCTCAGCTGTAGGGCCTTCTTAACTGTGGCTGGTGACCACTGTACCCCATTCATAGCCCGTCGTGACATAGCGTTTAGCTGATCTTTCCCAAAGATTCGTGCTGTCCGCGATTCCTGTTTCAGTTTAGCTTTCTGAATAGCTCTATACTGTTTCTTTGTTTTCCGAAGTTCAGTCTTCAAGGCCTTGATTCGCCCTTGCATTTTCATTCTTGGTTTACTTGGTGGTACACTTGATGTGGTGGGGTAGTTCTCGTCTTCTGTGGCAGTGTCTTCAACTGGAATAACAAATAACAGAGGAGAGAAAAAATTACAATAACATAATAAGAGAACAAAATGTAATTTGTACCCTTCATTTTGAGACAAACTTATGCAAGTTAATCCCTTTTCTAAATCACATTGCTAGCATGAACATCTTAAAAGAGGCATTTTATACCTCAAAATCCTCCAAGAAATGAATGAGCATAATTTCATGAAATTAATGGAAATTTCACATACCAGTTTCCAAATAGAATAAATGCTAATTTTTTCTAATCATGGAAACTTGTATTTTTCAACAAATGAAAAAGAGGCCCTAGTTGTAGTAAAACAGATTTAAGGGACAGCATCTCAAATAATGGAAAATTATTGATCTTTTTTATTTGTGTGTATGTGTGTGTTGGGGGGGGGGGGCATTTATCTATTTGATTTCAATGAACATTCTAAATGAATAAGAAAAACAATATGCAGCTGTTTTTGAGTATAACAAAAGCAGTCTCCTCCCCCCCCCCCCTTATGTAAGACAAATAATTTTTCACATGTTTTTATACAGCCCTGGGGAGTGTTTCATGAAGGGTCTTGTCAGTGATTTTCAGTGACAACTGTTATAAGCTACTGAAATCCATGCATCTGATTGGCTGAGAGCAACTTTGTTAGTGAAAATCACTGACAAGACTCTTCATAAAATGCTCCCCTGTACTTACGATAAACTGCATACATGCAATCCTACAGAATGAAGGCACACATTTTGTCTTCTGGGCAATTCCACTGGTTGGTCCAAAATAGTGAATGTGAGTAACCAACTTCTGAAGTTTTGAAGCTGCATTTACTACTCTAATATATACATGTATGTGCAGTGTTGTGAATAAAACTCATTTACCTTTAAACACCTATAGTCAGAGAACAGGAGATTAAGAGGTTACTCAATATCTCTCTAAATGTAACGTGAGTAACCATGGAATTGCCCTTCTGTAGTTTGGACAAAGGAAGTTAAAATAACGACAGTAGTTTGATGAAAATGATTCATTGATTCAGTACGTACCTGAACTTGAAGTTGATGTTGTTTTGTCTGCTGGGTTAATACAGTAGGTATGGTCAAAGGAAACGCACAATTTCTTGGTAGCACTAACAGCGTTTGGTGTACAGGGAAGGCGTTTCAGAGGTCGCCTGGGCTTCAGCACACTGCGATGGCAGAATATGGTTGGTACCGCCTGCCATTTCAGTTTTTTCTTCCCATCTGCTCTTCCATTTTCAAATTGTGATTCATCGAAGTGAATCTGCAGAAAAGAAGATACAATTTTGTTAATTCTAATTACTCCCTGGTCCTAAATGTAGGTAGTGCTATAGATTTCAACAAATGTCACTGCATCTTGTCACCCCCCCCCCCTTCACATCACTAGGTCAGTTGGGAGAATATTAAAGTTGAACTTCTCATTGTCTGAAATTTAATAATTTTTCATCGACATACACATGCTGATTACTCTAATACAAAATCCCCTAATCTACTTTAACTAACTACACTTAGTGACACTGACAAATACAGAATCTCTGATGAAATCTCCAGTGGTGCTATGTTGGGTCTCAAGAAAGAGATTTGATCATATATGAACAAGGGCTAGTGTCGGAATTCAGGAGAGCAGTTTTCTCTCGTCCTCCTTTGGAGTGCATACTTTGTATGACAGAATCTCTTTGTTGAGACCCAGATATTAGCACCAATGCCTAGATTTTATCAGACATCTCACTATTCCACATCAAATAGTTTTGATTCTGTTGCATCACCAACAGCACATGCGGATACGCTAAAGTAAAAAGCCACCATTTTCAAATGTGAATTACAAACGGAACCATGAAGACCGAAACATCTTTGTTGTTTAAAAAATTCTGAAACTCATTTTTTTGCCTAGATCTAAATTACTTTTTTTGACATATTTTTTGGTAAAAAAACTGGGTCAAAATGAAAATGTGATAGGCAGATTCTTCATGAAAAATTACACCTGATTGTCTACTTTTGTTTTCATAACATTTTTTGTCATGATCCCCACATCAAACAAATGGGCTTCTGATTTTAGAGAGGAAAAAATTTGGCTGAGAAAAAGGGCCTTATTGTTGGCGTTGACTTGTTTTTATTGTCCTCTTGTTCAGTCTCCCAAATCGGCCGTGCCCCTCTACTGCCAGTCTAGCGTTAACAATTATGAATTAGGTTTAAGTTAGATCATATAAGACTGGAGTGAAAGGATATTCATTTCTTTTTAAATTTGACTTTCAACTCTACTGCCAGTCTAACGTTAACAATCAAGTTAAGTTAGCTCATAAGACTGGAGTGAGAGGATATTTTTTTTAAATTTCACTTTCAACTCTGAAACTTCAAATTTGTACTCTGTCTTAGTAAGAGTTCAAGAGACCCTGAATCAGGTTACCTAGCAATTTCTTTAATTAAATCTTGGTTAGAGTGATTTTGTGTCTGTTTTAAAAGAGTGCAGCAGACACGTTTCAGTGGCAGTGGCCAGTAGTCAGTACAGTGGCAGTGGCAGTGCAAGAACCCAGAAATTCGAATCCACTCTCAAGCTTTTTAACAATAACATCTGAATTCTTGCCATTATTCACCATTCATGTGTTTATACAATCTAAGACTAAAAGTCGGTTGTTCTTTAAGGTTTAATAAACATTCTGTTCAGTTCTGGTTGAATTCTGTAGACCAATTCAGACAGAAGAAAGGCATGCCTATTCTGCAAGTTCAAGTTTACATACATAACCTACACCGATATTAATACATGGGACCGATATGGCACTTCTTACCTCGCACAAACAAGATGAAGAAGTTGGTTTCCACCCCACTCTGCTCACTTTGTTCTCCCATATTTTTCGTCTTTGTGGATCTGCGGGGAACCTATACATCTTGTACCCCTTCTCCGATTTATTGCTGCACCCGAAGGCGCAACAACCTGTCATTTTGTCGTGTTCTTTAAATCACTGACTGTCAGCTCGAGCTCGTTTGATATCACGGTCGCGGTAAGCGCTGCGCGCAGGCTAGGCTAGCGCTGCGCTGCGGAGTGAAACAAAATGGCGCCAGGAGTCACGTGACCATCAAATTCCGGTCCCCCTATGTCGCTACTCTCTATATATAGGTACTCTACAAGGGATTGTTGTCGAGCGCCCTCTTGCTATGTTCATCGCTATAGAAAGATTAAGCTACGATTAGGTTTTCGAAAATACATATGACAAGGCACCACATAAACATGCAAATAACACATAGTGATATTTTTAGCTAGAGCTCATCAAAAAAAAAATTAGAATAGTAAAATGTCAGTTTTTAGCTGTTCCTGAAACAGCATGCTCTCTTTTATATAATTTAACATTTTGAAGCTGCATTAACTTATTAAAAATTGTGCTCTTACGGTGTTCTGTGGGCTATATTTTTCTGATCTTGGATGTGCAATACAGGGCCCGGTTGCATAAAACTTTTAACGTAGCGTTAAGCCCCTAATTTAGCGGTAAGTCCAGAAACAGCGTTAAATTTAAAGTTAGCGTTAACTTTCCATTGCATAAAGAGTTAACGTAGTTTTTTAGCGGTAAGCTCTTCAGAAACAGCGGTAACTTTACTACAGCTATGAAGGTAGCGTTAACTACCATCAATCAATTACGGTAAGCCTTCATTCCAAGATGGCAGCCATACTACATGCCATACAGCACGCCGCTGCTCGATCTCCGGAGAGAGAGGGTATTTCGCGATCGGAGGCATCCCTTGGACCTATACGACGACGAACAAATGTTCAAGTTGTATAGGTTCAGCAGGCAGGGATGCCTCCACCTGATCAACAGACTATCCAGAAGGATCCAACATAGTACAAGGAGAAACTAAGCATTACCCCCAAGCTTGCAAGTTTTCGTCGCTCTTCGTTTTTTCGCCACTGGCTCTGTGATGGATTGTACTAGCTGCATCCATGGCATCCACATCTCCACTACATCCAGAACGGTACGGAGAGTCGCTCTAGCCCTCTGCGAGCTCCGGGACGAGGTATTTATTCATTTTTAAATGTTTTTATGGCATGAATATGATCCATTCTTAGGCTTTAAATCCTGAATTAATTATGTGAATGTGATCATTTCACTTTTCATGGTTGAATTGGCAAGAAAATCGCACATTTTTACCGATATTCATTCCTTAAAATATATACCCAGTACAGTGTTCATGAGGCAAAACCCCATTTCGGTAGATATATGCCTTAATTCGAGATCTTTTATCCATAAATGAACTTTTTTTAAATAAGTTCTTTCAAGTCTCGATTTACAAAAAAAAAATAGCCCTGTCGTTGCTATGGGGTCCGTCTACCGTCTGCAGCTAGCCCAGCACCCGCCGAGCGACAGCCGACTGGCGTATCGGCTGCGATGGCACCGCAATTTCCCCCATTTACTCTTGGAAGAATCATAATTTTCTTATCCTTATACCAAAAAATATTTAGATGACTAATCTAGATCAATTAAATGGCTTACGGATATATATCAGGGTTACTGAAATCAAATTCACGTAACAAAGATTTTAAACAATTGTTGTTAAAGTCACTGTAGTCTCCACCCAAACGCAACGAAACCGTTTTTTTGCGACCAGTCCCACATGTGGAAATTCATGTAAGGCACGAAGATTTTGTACTTACCCGAAGGTTTTGAGTGACCGAGTCACAAACTTCGAGTTGGTTTAACACTATAGCATAATAATTTGTCAACACGGTACTAAAAAGGTACTCACAAAAGTTTTGAAATATACACGAACGTTTTTTTGTAAAATTGTTCACCTCTGCTGATCGCAGGTAGATCTAGAGGCTTAGCCCTCTTTACATCTTCCGATCCTGCGCCCTGCATCGAATTAAACGTGTAGCGAGAATTATCTAAAGTTAGACACTCAAAATTTTGTTGTGAAAATGAAAGACGGCTGTAGCTATGGTGTTGTCAATTTGTTTTCTTGATCGTGCATATTTTTTTTCATATGATCGTGTCTATACCAGTTGTTTCGAGACGTTTACCAAATGATGAATATAAACACTTTCATACTCCTTACTACCTAAAAAATCCATCTTTTTAAGAACAAATCCAGACGTTTTTTTTTTAATTGATAAAGCAAAATTAAAGAAATGAAACGGCTGATTTGTAATAAAAAATGGGCCATTAAATATGATAAAGGATACATAATTAAAAAGTTATCTTGGATTAAAACACGTGATATGGCATCATAGTGGGAGTTTTTTCTAATTTCATCAAATCACTGCTGTTTATATAATGTCTTATTTGAACTATATCAATAATTGAACATGAAACACTTGACTTATTACCTCCCCCTGAAAAAAATTCCCTTATCATAACAATTCGTTATAGTGAATTGACTATGATGAGAAATAGTACTATACAATAAAACATCACTGGTATATCAAATTAGATGAAAAATCATTCACTTTTTTTGTTGTTGAATATTAACGCTATTTACAGTCTATGAATTTGAACATTGCCTAAAGTGTGACATATATGAAAACAATTTAACACATATATACTCTTTACCAACAGGTGATCAAGTTCCCGGAAACCTTGGAAGAAGTCGGAACGGCACAGGTCGATTTTTTCAACCTCGCTGGAATGCCCCACGTTGTCGGGGCCGTCGACGGGACTCACGTTGAACTGCATGGGGCTCCCCTTCTAGACGACGAGTACATCTTTACTAACCGAAAGGGCAAGCACTCCATAAACGTCCAGCTTATTTGCAATGCGAGGTACAAGATAACCAACGTGTGTGCAAGATGGCCTGGGAGCACTCACGACAGCCGAGTATTGAGGGTATGTGATGGTTTTATCAGCATCTCTGATCACTATTATCATCACTGCCAATATCATGATTATCATCCTACTCATCATTGAAATAATTATCACCATCATCATTATCATCATCAATCATCCATTAAGCCTATATTAATAATTTAAATTTTTAATTTAAACAAATTAATGTCACATTGATATTAAAGAAATATATTAAAGTACAATGTAATCTCTGACATCTTTCTCAATTTGTTTGCTATGGACTGAGAGAAGCCCAAACTGTATTTGTTTTGTTTTGTTAATCACATTTTGCAAAGATAATAATAATGATACATTTCTTCATAATTCAATACACAGAACAGTCGCATTGGAGAGCGTTTCGCAGACGGAGAGCTACCTGGCATCTTGGTTGGAGATTCCGGCTACCCCCTCCAGCCTTGGCTAATCACCCCACTACGGGACCCACAAGGCAATGCTGAAAGAAATTACAACAGGCAAGTACTCAATCAATCACGTTCACTCAAATCTTTAAAGTGTTACAAATAATCAGAGAGCCCTTCAATGATTAAAAGTGATGGAATGTATCAGTTTAATAACATAATACCAACTATATTTGTACAAAGTAAATCTCAAAATTTGCACATAGATCATAATACCATATACTTTATATACATTTATAAATTATGTTCATTTGAATATAAATAATGTATAAATTAAAAAAGATAAATAAATATTTAGATCTTATAATAGTATATAACTATATTGGTACAAAATGAATACAATTGTAGTTTTAGTCTTTGTTAATGATGTAATAAAGGAAGAAAAGGTCTTGGCAAGATAATAGCATATCTTATATCGATATTTACAAATGCTTTTTCTTGAAGGGTAAGTTGGGTTAAGATCCTGAGAGATGTAGCATGTACGATGGCTTGCAAAAATTGATTACTACAGTGTTTGATTATTTATTCATTATAATATTTCTGACTACTATGTATACAGGGCACACTGCAGAACACGTGTCACCATAGAACAATTGAATGGGCAATTGAAAAACAAATTCAGGTGCCTGATGGGACAAGGGATCCAGATGTCTGCACCAAGAGCATGCGACATCATAATTGCCTGTGCCGTGCTCTTTAACATCGCCAAAGACCTTAAAGAACCGGAACAAGCCATCGAAGTGGAACCGGATGAAGTGCCACACCACCCTGCAGATCAGAACCAGCTGACTGGCATTGCTCTTCGAGCAGAACTCATCAATAATTACTTTTCATAAATGTCATAACTTGTTTGCAAGCACTATACAGTATATTTAAATGTGAATGTATAGCTTTAATGCTGTATTTTATAACAACAAAATACAGTGATCATAGTTTTCTGACCTCCTAACTAATTTTAGTTGGTTAAGAAACAAGGTTCTGTCAGGTTAAAGATTGACTTGTACCTAACTGATCTATGGAATTTGCAAAACAGTGCAATTTACCATCTTCCCTTAAAGGTGGAGTATACATTTAAAGGCTGAAAATATAAACATGTGTAAATCTGAGAGTAATCAAATGATAAAACCATCTAAAAGTTCCTCTTAAAAATATCGGAACTTGGAATTGTCTTTGTGGAAGTGTTTCTACTTAGGTTCTAATATTTCAGATACTTGTACGCACAGTGGTATGTTTTGTGCCAAGTAAAGACTGATTCATTTTCAGTTTGGTTATTGCAAGAGGTGGAATTACGATGTGCACATATTCAAATGTACTCTTCACATGTATTGTTAACTTTGAAAAAGAATTGAATCATGCACTCAACGGAATCTGACAATAAAGTCTTAAAAATTACCAATATTCTTTGTTTCATTTGGATTCTAGGTCACTATCAACTTTAAACAGACAGGAATAATCTGACATAATTGTGATTCATGCCGCAGATGACAAAATTAGATTTTGTCTGCAAAATGTACAAATTACCTTCTGGTCAAAATCTAAAATACATTGTTTGCTGAGTGGTCCTCTGTCACATCAGCTTATCTGCTATATGGTAGAAGAGGAAATTCCTGAAAATAGCCTTTGAATTCAGCAGGGAAATTTGGCACTTATAAACAATCAAAGAAACCTTGTACGAATTCTCTTCTCAATATGCAACCAATGTAAATGCTCCAATAAAGGAGTTGCCCTATCCTGCTTCCTTGCTTTCAAAACAATCATGGCGGTATGATGTTGGATGTCCTGCAATCTCTCAATATTTGTTTTATTCACATTAATAAATAGGGAGTTTGAGTAACCTAACCTACTAAGCACAAGCGATCGAATAGCATGGCTACAAGTTTCTTTGGGGAGTATTTTTCTTACCCTACATATAGTACACAGATGAAAGTTGAGCGATTTACAAAGTGAAATTGGGAAGACAAATGGAGGCATCAATAAAGGCACCAATAATGTTTGGAAGAAGAGAAAGAGATGGAGATGGTTAGGAGAGAGAGAATGGAAAGGGGGAGGTGAAATTGTACATAGTTTGAAGAATACCAAAAGCGTCTTACCAAATATTGAGCAGGAGAATCTTGAAATGTTTGAAGTCAATGGAATCAAATCAAATAACGGTAAATTTTCTAAAAATGAAAAAAAAAAAAAAATCATTTTGCACAATCATGATTTGATGAAAAGTATTCTGACATGACTGTCAGCATACTTTTCATCAAATCATGATTACTTTTCAGCAACTCATGATTTTTTTTCATCACTTCAAGCTTCTCCTGCTCAACTCGCAGGAGACGCTCTTGGTACTCTTCGTACGACACCCCGTTAGACTTTTTCACTGTTTTTTTTCCACCAAATTTTGTCTTCATCTTCCCCCTTCTGGGCTCCCTCTCCTCAACCATCTCTACCTCATCCCCCTCCACCTCCTCCTCCACCGCTCCTGCCTCCTCCCCCATGCTCTGCAGAAGCTCCACGGCCCCTGCATTTTGAGACAACTGTGAAGAAGAAATGAAAACAAAGCCAAAACTAAATTGTAAATACTATTCCTTTTTTTTGGTCAAAAATTTGAAATGGAAATTGCATGGTTAGGTGTTTTGCTTATTCTCAAGAAATTCAGAGCAGTTGCTCTTTTTATATTAATTAACAAACTAGATGGAATTTTGACTGCGCGCGAAAATGATGCCTCCGCCATAGAGCAATTTAAACAAGTTTGGAGTTTAAATCTCCAGTGGTTCTTGAGATATCATGATAACAATCTCAATGTAAGGAATTTCATAAGTTGACCTCTTTGACCCTTGACCTTTGACATATGTGCTCCAAAATCTAATCAGATCGTCTTCCTATGGTGATACATACTATCCTTAAGTTTGAAGTTTAAATCTCAAATGGTTCTTGAGATATCGCGCTAACAAACTCAATACAAGGAATTTCATAAGTTGACCTCTGTGACCTGTGACCTTTGACCTACGTACTCCAAAATCTAATCAGATCGTCTTCCTATGGTGATAAATACTATTCCCAAATCTTAAGTTTAAATCTTAAATGGTTCTTGAGATATTGTGATAACGGTCAAACGGGACGGACGTACGTACGTACGGACAGACAACCCGAAAACATTATGCCTCCGGCACCACCTTCGGTGGCGGAGGCATAAAAATATGTATGACAATTATACATGGAGTAAAATTGTGAAATAAACAATATAACAAATACAGGAAATATTTGATCAAATTACCTTTTTAAAGAAAAAATAAAATTACATTGATAAATTGTAAATTCCGATACACCCTCTACATTTATGTGAGAGTTTTTTTGACTCTCCTGTAATAATCAATGTTTACCGGCAGTGTTGAAGCTCCAGTCTCGCTGGACTGAGGCAAGATCCCCTCCTTGACTTGTGTTGTCATGGCACTCAGCACCATATCATGCCTTGCATTGAAGTCAAACGCTCCTCCCCCTGGAGATTGAGAAGACAAAACAAGAAAAGAAGAAATAGATAACACATTATAGAACTTCTCAAAGATATATAATTTTTTTTTTTTTTTTTTAAGAATTAAATAAGAAAAATATTGAGAATCATTCAATGACTGTCAATACATTCTTACATATGTATTTAATTTAAACCAAAACAATTACACTGACCTTTAATTAGACTACAGTAGGCATCACAGTGATGATGGCAATTTTAGTGTGATATGTATTTGACATGAAAGATTTGCAGAGTTGCATTGTTGTCAAGATAGACACCTTACCCTGAGCAATGAAAAGATTGCTTAATAAAAAGCATATATTTACTTGGCCTTTAAAAAAATTCTGTTTGAGCTGTGTAATAAATTTCTATGCAAAACTCAAAGACAGATAACAACAAAATAATTGTAAAGTGGCACAGATTTTATTTCACATCGTAATTTTTATTTTTAAGCAAAAAGACTCACCCGTCTTATTGCGGCTGTCTCTATATTTTTTGGCCTTTGACCTGAGGTCGTTCCACAACAACCTCAGGTCCTTGCCCGACCGGTTGGGGCAACCCATGCCCGCCATGGTGATGGCTGCCTCCTCCCACGCCCTTTTCTTCCTCTCCTGCACCTAAATAAAAATAAAGATTGGAGGTAATATTATAGTTTCAGGAACAAGAATGCAATAGCACTCATGCAGATGCACATTTTATGTCATTAAAGTTCTAATCCTTGCAAAAATACGTTTAGACCCTACTAAATGTGAAAAAGAATCATCCCGTAATACTACAAACATTACAAATATTAAATACAATTAAAAGCATCAGTTATATTTTTTTCAGTTTCAAAATGCCCCTTCTATATTTTGCAGTGATTGGTCTCTTCACGCCTCAAATCTGAAGGGGAGGGTCTCACCTCAAAATAAAGTCATTGATTTAGGAGGGAATGTAAGTACCATTATTAGCACGTAAAATGTTATCATATCAATTCAGAAATCTTACCCGTTCGCTGCAGTTTCCTGCCTTGCCGAATAGGATGGCACATTTTCCCTGGACAAACCTGCATAGATGCTCGATTTGGCAATCGCTGTAGTTTCCTCTCCTCTTTGTTTGTTTCTGCAAAGACCAAAGTTACATTAACCTTCAAGTGTTATTCATTCGTTCATTGTTAAGAAATCATTTTTTTAAATAAATTTGTTGCTCAACATGGGGGGGGGGGGGGGGGTATAGAGCACCATATTTTTTTAAAAATTAACACCCCCCCCCCCTCCTCTTGAGCAAAATTTATTAAATATTAAAACAAAACAAAATATCGTTAGGGGGGGCCGGGGGGGGGGGAGTTCACGCAAACCCCTGAACCTCTATTTTGACAGAGGTGCAATTACATTATATACGCAACAATATAATCTAGAAGGGTAGACCAAGATCTACATGTATAGTGCCCAATGTCTGTCACAACTGACACAACACACGCACTAGCAGGCCTAGCTCATTTGTAGCTGTTGTTAAAACTAAGCTATGGAAATCTCTCGAGTCTTGAACTAAACTAAACTAAGTAAAGCAGCATATTATTCAGCTTTTAGTTTTGGGTCTAACTCAACTTGCCTACATCACTAATTCAATTTAACAACACAGACAGAGTCAGCTTGAATTCGGTTATCATTCTTTTTAGTCTGTCATTCAATGTCAATGACTCATCAAGTTGAAAACCAACTTTAAACCACTTACCAGCACCTTAGGCTTAAGTTGGTGGCCGCACACGACGACACACCTCCAGTTTAAACACCTTTACGGCATCTTTTGGAGGAATCCTACCAAGTACCAAGTACCTGCATCAATAGGACTAAGTCAGTGAGCTGAGACTGAGTGAGTGGTTCATTAATAAAATAATAAAATTGCAACTTGAAATCAACTGCTGAACTTAGGTCTAGAAACAGAAAAATAATCAAGGAAAATATATCGAACTGTGACTCTGCATCGTAAGGAGCATTGTTAGTCGTTTGAAATACCATGGATGATGTATTTCGATATTTAAATTAATTAATAGCAGACCAGCTTCGGGGACGTATACAACAAGCAATGTACGATACGCACACACACCCAGATACCGTTGAATCGCCCCCAGAGCTCCGGGGGAGATTCGCGGGGCCATCCCGTTCGGCACAGCTGCATCAACACACCACACAATTCATCACCGACACCGTAACAAAAACCGTCATTATATTCGATGAAATTTGAAGAGATTCGCACTATTTACGAAGTCAACATGACTAACAACAATTCATTTTCATTTCTGAAGTACTGCAGTTTACAAAAGTGGATCGATAAATTATAAAGGCGTAAACTTACGTTAGTTGGGGACGCCATTGCACCACACTGAACTTCGGTTTCTCGGAACAGTAGCAGACGGTCGACAAAAAATAAACATCCCGCTCGCCGATCTGCGCATGCGCCTGCTTGTTTCGATCGATTCAATGACGTTGCTATTATAGTAGCTTACTACTCTTTTTATGCAATGGAAAATGCCATCTATAGTAGCTTACCATTAATTCGCCAGCCAATTATGGTAGCTACTATAGTTTCAATTATGGTAAGAAAAAGTTTTTACAACGGGGCCCAGGTTTTAATTTCGTTATGACCCTGCCTACGACTCTCATTTTGATATCCTATATATGTAAAAACAGAGTAAGCTGTACTTTGCGGTGATGGCTAGGCTAAAAAAAACACAGGATGTGTTTTTAATATTCCCGCGCCAAGTTTGAGAACAAATTGAAAACCCCTTTATTCAAATGTATGCAGCGTTACAAGTCTCATTTTTGTCACCTTTCATAATACATTCAAGATCAAAGTGCTTGAATAGACTGCACAATTTGTAAACGCTTTTTTAAAGAACAGTAAACAAAAGAATGAAGAAATTTTGTCTCTCCTTTATGTCTTAAGAACATTTGCGAACCCCCCCCCCCCTTTCCAAAAAAATAAAAGAAACAAAATTAGAAAGGAGAACATTTCAGAACAAATTAAAGAAAGTAAACGGACTATAAAAGAAAGGAAGCGATATGGCTGAGTGGCAGACCAGTGGCCTCAAAACCGGTAGGTCTCGGATTCGAAACCAAGTCAATCTGTAGGTGCCCTTTCTTTTTGCAATGAGTGCTCCTTTTTGTCAGTGCACCCCTAACCTTGAAAGCCTCCGATGCCCCTACTGTGCAACATTGATACCCGTCAAGAACTGAATACACATTTCTATAATGTTCATCCATGCGAGCGAGGCATTGTTAAATTTATGTTATTGTCCTCAATTTGATCACGTTCAACTAGACTTGTTGACGCTGAGTTATATTACTTCAGAGGCGCTACTCTGGGGGAAAGGGTGGAAGAGGTGGGGATACCCCTTACAATTACCCCCCCCCCCCAAATGCATGCACTTTGTCCTGATTATTGCCTCTACACAATTCAGGAGAGGTTCTCCTTTTACTTTCCTTGTAAGAAGAATCCCTTCCCCTTTTAATAAGTGCCAATGTTTACCTCTGATAAGTGCCCCTTTTATTTTGACACGTAGCCCCTTTTTTTAATAAGTGTCTAATTCCTTGTGATGTGTGTTCCCATTCCTTTTGAAATAAGAGCCTTTCCCCTTCCAATAAATGCCCCTTTTCTCCTCCGATAAATGCTCTTATTGAAATATAATAGGTGCTTCTTTTTCTTTAACGAATGCTCCTTTTCTTTATAATTAGTGCCCATTTTCCATTGGTTTCCCTTTAAATAATAGCCCCATCCCTTTCTCACAAAAAACCCTTTACACCTCATATAAGCCCATTTTATTTCGACACGTGGCCAATTTTCATTTCTGATAAAAAAACCTTTTTATCTTGTGACAAGTGTCCGTTTTCTTTTATTATAAGAAACCTTTCCCCTTTTCATAAATGCCCCTTTTCAGCACTGTTAAATGCCCCTATTAAAATGTTATAGGTGCTTCTTTTTTTCGAAAATTTCCCCTTTTACATCCTTACAAGTGTCCTTTTTCCTCTAAGAAATCATAGAATACTACATATTGACGTGCAGTAGCATTATGGTAGTAATACTATATAGCTATATTAAGAAATACAACCTTATAAACGCCTTTTTTTCCTTCTTTTCTAGTGGGTGAATTCGTCGGGTGAGCGCGCTTGCATGCACTCGTTCAAAGGTAATAATATTCACAACGAATAGAATCTGGTCTTTGTATTATAGGCTATGTAAAATCGATTCCTAGTTTCTCGTCCAGATTTCGAAAATGAATTTCTTTTTTATATCATTGATATTTTGATAAGATGGCCGCTCATACAAATAATAATAGCCATGGCTGCCTGTTAACTTGCCCGTTTAGTGGTCTAGAGAAAACTATTGTGTAAAAAAAATAAAGAGTAAAACCAAAGTTTGTTTTAAAAGAGCTACAATAATTAAGTAGATCTATAGAGTCTAAAATATAACAAATAAAAAAAAAATATTATAATATTTCTATTTAAGTAGTTCATAGATAGTCTTCAAAATGTTACAAAAAATCATAGCAACAACACCACAATAGACCATTTTGTCATAGTTCTGCCTTATTTTGATATTTCTTTAGTTCATGAATTAGTAGTTAGGCGAGGCGTCAAAAATATCGATACCAGCAGGCTGCCGCCTCACGTATTGGCGCATCGAGGCTGCAATTACGGCCGAAGCCTGGCTGGGGCAATTATTTTTCACTTATTAGCCCAGCCGGCTTGCGCCAGGCTGGGATCTGAGGCTCGGTTTCCATTCGAAAGGCGGCAGCCGGCGCATGCTTTTGTTCGGAGACCATTATGATGACATCATGAGTTAATTGAGGGTCCTACCGCCAGCGGTAGCCGGCTGAGCTAATTAAAAAAATGCAGCCAGGACGCACAAGTGCAGTTAGCTGCCGCTGGCTGGTATATTTATTTTTGACGCCTCGCCTTATGTGTAATGTTATTGTTTTACTATTGTAAGGCGCATTGTTCTTTTTTCTCTCGAGATGAATTGCGTTATGAAAGCCTAGGTTATTATTGTTATTATTATTTCTAAATCATCAGTACTATGCCTTTTCTCTTAAAATTATTTGAGATCTACATCTAAGGTATCACCGGTTTAATTTTTCATCTTAAAATAAAATCATAACATAACGAGAAACCACAACAAGAAGGAGGCGGGCGCCAAAAGAATGCTTGCGGGGGCGAGAAGCCGGGAATCATTTTTACTTGGCCTTAGTGTAGACTAATAGAAAAGCAGTAAAGCCCTCTGAAAAGAATAGCTTTTCAAATGGTTCACGCACAATTGATTCCTTGTGTAGTGTAGTGATAGTATCTTTATATTGACACTCGTTTTCATAACTTTTCGATTCATGACATATTTTTAAATTTATTTCGGTTTCGGCATACAGAATAACTGGTACACAATGCCAATCTCTCTCTCCCTCCTTCAGCCATCCATCCAGTCATTATATTTCTTTCGGTCTCTCGGCCCTTCTCTCTCTTTCCCTTTCTCTCTCTTTTTCTCTTGATTTATTGATTTCACTCATAGTAACATTCTTTCTCCCCCTCGCTCTCTCCAACTCACTATTAAGAAGAACACACTTGCTGGTGAATAGGGACACGGAGTCTACAGAAATTAAAGAGGCTAATTAAAGCAACCAATCAACTTACAACTTTTAGGAAAACAAGGTGAACTTCAAAGGTTAACTTTGAGTACAATATACAGCCCTACAATATGGAAGTGTTTAATGGCAATCACATGACAGATAAATTCATCATTACCAGGCTTAATAATATGAAAGAAAACTGAATTTAAACCCCGGGTCATACACACCGCCTCGCTCTCTCTCTCTCTCTCTCTCTCTCTCTTTCCCTCACTATTTCTCTCTCACAGTACCATTGGAGAAAAGGCGTGCCCTCTTCATAGCCCTCAACCCTTCCCTTGAAGCTACGTGACTAATTTACAACATTATCGAGCTTATTCAAGACAGTCGGTCTTACAATAAACTAAATAATATATATTCTTATAAAACCGAAACAAGGATGAAGAAAAAATGCTTTTATATCTATCCATCAAGCTAAAGGATAGATTGCTTATTTGGGCAGAATATGGAGCAATCTCTAATAACTGCAGTTAGAAATTAGAAGTAAAGTTTAGCTACTTGATTTAAAACAAATATTTTGGTCACGATAACCTGCTTGTATAATTGATTAAAGATAGTGCGCCCTATATTTCACATCCACTGGCGAATATATCTTTCTGGTCATTAGAGAAAAGGCAAGGTTGCTGAATGTTAGCAACAGTCTGTCGCCATTGCTACTCTTTAACACGACCATGATGTGGCAATTTTACTCTTTCAACTAGGACTCACAATGGTTCGTTTCACGTGGTTGATTCTTCTTTGTAGATTCCACTGTGCGGGGGATTTAGCGGAGATAGAGATAGAAGAATATTCTCACAATTACCCACGATGTATTATTCTTCTTATTTGTTCATCGTCATTTCAAAGCTATTTAAAAAAATATTTGGATGACAATTATATAATATTGACTGGCCTTGAGGGAGATACAAATTATATTGCCCAAACTAGACTCATATTGGTCCGAGTCAAAGACGAGGGCAATATTGCTCTTGTAATGATCTCTCGAAAGTTCAGCCAGTAAATATTTGCATTGTTATCCTAATCAGACATCTAGAGCAAATACATACATCAACCATGACAATATCAAAGAACTGAACAAACTTTGTCAACCAGCAATGCTTGACGAAATTTTCGATACTCTGCAAACAGTAGGCGGTGTCACACAGAAAAACCCCGACCCATCTTGAATAAACAAGATTTTAGAAATCTAGTTTTTTTTCATTTACGTCGGTGACAGACTGGTGACAGACAGGCTACGAATAATCCAGATAACTAAAATCCGGATTTTTGATGGGCCATTGTAGTTGGTACCATTACCCTCGTAGTCGATTAATATTTGCTTACTAGGGCAATACGGTTTTGTAAATGACCAGCTCAGATGTCTGATACGGGTAATAATAAACGATATTGTGGTACTATTGCTTACGTACCGTTGCATGGCAATCGCATGTAAGATAAATTCAAAAGAACGGAAATTTAATTTGAACCCTGGGCAAACCAACCACCCTCTCTCTCTCTCTCTTTCTCTCGCTCTCTCTCTCTCTCTCTCTCTCAATACAAATGGAGAAATAAAACGTGCCATTTTTGCCCCCTCTCCCTTTGGATCTACGCCACTGACTTACAACAAACTTTATATATATAGTTTCTGACTCTAGAAAGTAGGTCTTACAATAAAAAACAATAATGGAAACAAGGATGGTACATGCAAATACCTCTTACGGCTACCCTTTCCAAGGTCTGTAATTGGCTGGTCTTTTAAAGTGCATGGTTTAACACAGTTATGATGAAAATGAGATATTTTCAATATGGAGTTTGTATCATTCGTTTAAATAATGACGAAATAATTGTTGTTTTACACGCGATGGCGTCAACAGTGTTAACGTTGTTTTCTCCGTGAATTTCCTGCAATCCTATTATTATCTCCCGCGTTTAGAGTTTAGATTTTGT